CCTTACTCGCTGGAGGTATTTGGCAGTTGCCGCTTTCCTGTTCGAGGTTGCCATTTGCCTGTGGTATACCGAGATACTTGTAACTGTCCTCAACGTCTGCTATTGTTCCCTCTGGGAGTGAGATCCCTTCTGTGTGGACTACCTTGCCTCTCCGAGTCACCATCCTGCTACATTTCTCGAGCCCGAATGACATCCCGATGTCATGGCTGTAGATCCTGGTTGTTTGGACCAGAGAGTTGATGTCTCTCTCGCTCTTGGCGTACAGCTTGATGTCATCCATGTAGAGGAGGTGACTGATTTTTGCTCCGTTCCTGAGGCGGTTTCCATAGCCAGTCTGGTCAATTACTTGGCTTAGAGGGTTGAGGCCTATGCAGAACAGTAGTGGCGACAGAGCATCTCCTTGGTAGATACCACATTTGATGGTCACTTGTGCGAGCGGCTTGCCATTTGCCTCAAGGGTGGTCTTCCACATTCCCATCGAGTTTGCAACGAAGTCCCTTAGAGCCCTGTTGATATTGTACAACTTCAAGCATTCCATGATCCATGTGTGTGGCATTGAGTCGTAGGCTTTCTGGTAATCAATCCAGGCTGTGCACAGGTTGGTGTGTCGTGACCGGCAGTCTTGGGCGATTGTTCTGTCAACCAGGAGCTGGTGTTTGGCTCCTCTGGTGTCCCTACCAATGCCCTTCTGTGCTGTGCTCATGAATTGTTCCATATGCCCACTTATCTTAGCCGCAATGATGCCTGACATGAGCTTCCATGTTGTGGAGAGACAGGTTATTGGCCGGTAGTTGGAGGGGACTGCACCCTTGACAGGGTCCTTCATGATCAGGACCGTTTGCCCCTCGGTTAGCCATTCTGGGTGAGTCCCATCTCTCAGCAGCTGGCTCATGGAGTGATGTGAGTGTCCTTAGCCAGTAGGCATGGACCATATAAGGGCCAGGTGCTGTACAGTTTTTCATACCTGAGACTCTTTCTCGGATGTCTGCCTCTGATATATATATATATATATATATATATATATATATATATATATATATATATATATATATATAAAAAAAAAAACCTGACATCGTGGTGGTAGACAAAGGGCAGAGGACAGCCGTGGTGGTGGACGTGGCAATTCCAAGCGATGGTAACATCCGGAAAAAAGAACATGAAAAGCTTGAGAAATACCAAGGTCTCAGAGAGGAGCTGGAGAGGGCCTGGAGGGTAAAGGTGACAGTAGTGCCCGTGGTGATCGGTACACTCGGGGCAGTGACCCCGAAGCTAGATGAGTGGTTACAGCGGATCCCCGGAACAACCTCGGACATCTCGGTCCAGAAATGTGCAGTGCTAGGAACAGCAAAGATACTGCGCAGAACCCTCAAGCTCCCTGGCCTCTGGTAGAGGACCCGAGCTTAGAGAGGGATAACCGCCCGCGGAGGGCCAAAGGTGAGTGGACAATTTTTTTTTTTTTTATATATATATATATATATAATGTTGATATTGAAGCATTTACAGCTAGCTAAGAAACATAGCAGCTGCTCATATTGTATATTTGAGCAGACAGTCTCTTACAACTGTCCTGTGTGTGCGCTGCAACATTGAAATTTCCCCAGCGTGGGACAAATATAGGTTTTCTTATCTTATCATATTCTTGCCTTACTTGACCAATTATTAATAAGTGTTTTGGCTTCGATGTTTGTAATAGACTATTATAAATTGGTTGTTTTCTTGGAGAATTTTGCGTCAGAAAGATCTCATGCCACATTTTTCCAATTCTATATATACATAAACATTACTTATTTACAATTATACATCTTACTATCAAGGTTTGCCAGTACTCCCTGTAATACTCGTGCAGGTGTCCGTGTACCCCAGTTGGGACACACTGTTTTATAAAACTGTTTTAGATCAGCAATGAGATTTGTTACATAAGGAGCTGTGGATGTTATAGATTACCTCTATATTACATAGAAACATGTTTGTTAATGTTGTATATTTCGCTTCCCAAGACCATATCCTTACCCATTAGCGCTGTCATTTATAAGACCTCATTTCTCCTCCATTACCAAGCCCAGAGATAGGACTCCCGTTTCTAAATCCTGTGTCCTCATAGCCACGTAGGTCGGCGTCTAATAGTTTTACCCGGGATTGAGTCACGGCTAAGCAAGGAGTATTTGAATATTAGCATCAAATTGATTTAAGTGCCTTATGCCGCGCCATAGTGAGCCGCAATAAGTCATACAAGTTATAAAGCAGGGCGTCCCGGGGCAGTAGGCAGGCAGGACGGAGAGGACACAGGGGGGAGGCAAAGGGGGAGGAGGGAGGGGGGAGGATATAGAGGCATTAAAAAAAGGAGTCAAGGTCAATATCATGCGGGATGCAGCCGGCGATGGGATGTTTGGTAATCATTTCTCTCCATACGACCGGCTCAGGGGGGGGGGCTGTGAGAGAGGTCACTGCAGAGACTATAGAGCTGCACCAGAGGAATGAGAGAATAGCACTGCTGCTAAACCACAGATAAGGCTTGTACAGTATTACGGGGAATAATGGGGGAAACTATTGTGTTGTGCGGAATTTACATAAGGACGCAGCGTAAGCAATGTTTACAGATTTATGGGTTTATAAGCTCAGCGTAAAAAACAGGCGATGTGTGTTTACGGTTTTATGGAGAGACTTGGGAATAAAGAGAACAAGCCTTAAAGAAAACACAGGGAGATGGAAAGGACATATATGTTTGTGGGTCTGTAATTTACACAGGACATAAATTGCTTCTGTGAATGATTGCGATTAAGGATAATATATGTTTTGTTCCCAGGATAAAACATGTATAAATTGAAAGTCCAGGCTTTTTATTAAGATATAGCGTTTCATTTGAATGTTTTGAGATTTCAGACTGTGACATATCTGTTTTATATGTTTTTTTTTACATCTAAATTTACAGTTATGCTAGGGAAGGATGATGTTTTATATTTGTTTACAAAGTACTATGGTTTCGGTTTTCTGGTTTAGTAGAAGAAGAAGTGGAAGAAGAAGGTCCTTTATTCGTCCCAAAATGGGAACATTTCAGTTTGATGCATACACATACACATACACATACACATATACATAAATATACATATACAATTCAAGGCAAGCAGCGAACATCACTTTTGCGCTCCTTATAGGCAAAGTGGGTTACGTGTCATGCCCAAGGACACAACGACAGCAGACATCAGTGGAGTCGGTGGAGACGGTCTTGTGGTGGGCTCGAACCCACGACCTTTAGGCTCAAATGCCAATGCTCTACCAATTGAGCCACTGTCGCCCCTTAATGTGAGACAAGACTCATGACGCCATCTTGCGTTCTTCTCCATGGCTGTTGTGAGTATTTTTCCCCATGTATAAACCACTGTGTCGTGTGCATACATTTGGATATTTACATCCTCACACACAGAAGGCAGTTGGTTAACGTAGAAGGAGAACAAAGGAGGTCCTCTTTTGTTCTCCTTATATAGAACCTTGATAGCAGTGATACACGACGGCACGGAATCCCTGTCGGAACAATGCATTTCTTTATGAGGTTTGCATGTTCTGCACGTGTCTGTATAATAGGTTTGGCACTCCTATCTCTGTGTGGAGTGAGAGACAAATTGTAAAGCGCTTTGTGACTCTGGTCTGTGAAAGGCGCTATATAAATAAAAACGTACTTGTTTGAAAGCAGTCCAATTAACCGTCTACATCAAAAAAAACAAAAAACAGAAACTTTCTCTTCCCTTTTGCAAAGAAAATGTACAAAATATTGAGGCCCAAAATACATTGAGTCGATATAGTAATTATCGACACAGGTCTAAATATACAGTATGTGTTGATTTTGGTCCTTCAACTTGAGGAAATGGCTAATTCATGTCTGAGAATGTGTGTGAAGTCTAGAACATATGGGCAAGCATTATCAATATACAGACTATGGTGTTGTGATATTCCAGCTCTAATAGCATGTTCGAGTTAGCTCTAATCGGCTAAAGCTAACGTCCACCGGTCCACAATAATACTGTATGAATGCGTCCGGTCCGTAGCACAAAAAGGTTGGGGACCGCTGGTTTATCAATAGAGGGAAGTCCTGATGGAACAGTGACACTAAAACCTTCATACTCTGATATATCCTGAGGTTTTCTCCCACAGATGAAATATTAATACTCAAGGTTTTTCCTCAATTCGGTCTTTTTAAAAACACCCATCTGCAGGGTGAGGGGAGGGTGAGGGGAGGGTGAGGGGAGTGTAAGAGCACTTCAAATAAAGGGAAAATATGATGTGAAAAGAACGTGAAAATACTTTTTTGGTTTTGACTTTGAGCTGGTTTAAAGGTAAATATATAAAGTGTTAATTCAAAATAATAATAATGATAATGGGGAAAGAGCATCAAGTTAAAAGGACTTTATCATGACTTGGTTCATAATAGTTTTTAGATGTTTTTATTTTTATGTGTTTTACAATTTGTCAGTCATCATAATCAACAATAAAATAAATTAAAACTTAATACATCTCACTCTGCATGAAACATATTTTAAGGTCTATTTGTTCAATTTCGGAATCAAATGGACTTTTTAACAACATTTATGCACAAATATTAGCATTTGCATCTACGCACAAATATTAGCATAATTATTATGTATGGACAGTGGTCATCTCTCTAGGGGCCGGTGCTATGTGGACTGGGTGCAGCTGTGACTGCCACCCGCCTGACCCAGAAATAGATTAAGGCGAAGAAAATGGATGGATGGTCATCTCGCTCTCTATGGACCTATGTGTTTCTCAGATTTGTTGTTTGCAAATCCACAACTTTGTAAAGACCTCAAAGACAACTGCTGCTCTTTAAGTCTGACATAGTTTCATTACTGTGGTTTTAAGGCTGTAAAACCCATCACCAGTCCTTTTAATCCCATAATTCTCATTCCCACTGTTCTGTAACTGCTGATGCAACACTGAAAGTTCCCGTCTGTGCAGGGACAAGTGAAGGATCTCTCTGTGAGCCTCACCTGCGATCATGTCGTCCACGCTGCTCATCTTCAGCAGCACCTGTTGGATCAGTCCCACTTCTGTGCTGGTCTGCAGGTTGCGGACGCTCTTACGGAGGATGGCGGTGAACATGGACCAGATCTCGGCCTGACACGTGACCTCGCAGTGGGACAGCAGCTCCACCATGCAGCCGATACTCTCTGCCTCCTGGATGATGAAGTTCATCTCCAGGTCAAACTCTCCCCCCACCAGCTGCAACACAGGAAATATACTGTTAATTCATATTCTAGAATATATGGATATTTGTGTATTGACCACCTGCGTTATTTAACACTATAAAAGTAATATTGTAGTATTAGTATTCCCCTAAACTTAGAGCAGTCAAGTTAAATACATAGACTGTTTATAGATGAATATTGCAAAACCCTCTGGCTCAGGGAATCAGACTCATTTTGGTCGGGGCCAAGTTTAAAAACATAAAAGCTGGTTGGGGCCAAACATATAAAAGTAATTTTCTAATGAGTTTTATTTCATACAAGTTTGAATATTATCTTCTCGTAGGTTTTGATTCAATCACAATCACATTTTGGTTGGTTAACATTGTGTGACAGATTAAAATATATGATGATTTTCCTGAGAACTATGATTTAAAATGAAGTATAACATGCCATAGTATCTCATAACCATCAATGCTGTAAATGACTGTAATAATGATACATGAACATTCTTACAGGGGCCACTAAACATAGAAATACATGTATACTGTTAACAGGACTTTTCTCAGCTTAGGCCGTGGTGGTTTAGTGGTTTTTCCCTCCACATTTCCTCACACACGTTTGTTCTAGACTCAGAGCAACAGATTTATATTGAGAAGAAACCTGCCTTTGGATAGTAATAATAATCAGTTTTATACAGCGCTATTCTGGACACTCAAAGATGCTTCACATGTCATTATTAATTCACTCCATACACGGTGGTGATGAATTACTACTTTAGCCACAGCTGCCCTGGGGCACACTGACAGAATCACGGCAACCAGTCTGTGCCATCGGCCCCTCCCACCACCACCAACCATTCACACACACATCAGACACATTTCAGGCCTATGTGCAATAGTACGATAGTGATGACCCAGGACATGTATTATCATTTATGAACAGTGGTCATAGCGTTCCCTATGGACCAATGGCTTCTATGTGTTTCCTTGAACTGATTGTCTGATTTGTTGTTGGTGACTAGACAAATGTTTACAGTACTCGAAGAAGACTGCTTTTGTTGTTTAAGACTATACAAAAAAGAATAGAGTAGAATTAAATTGAGTTGAAATACACAAAGAAATAGAGCGAGACCAACGACACACACGCGTACACACACAGACACAGACACACAGACACAGCTTGTCATTGGTTTTAAGGCAGTATTCTTGCGCCTCTTGACTCCAGCACCAAAGATGGATGCTCTGGCTCTCAGCCTCTCGTCTCCTCCGCCTCTGCTCTTTGCCAACTATAATCATAACAAAAATGGCATGAAATGGTCTCTCTCTCTCTCGCTCTCTTGCTCTCTCTCTCTCTCTTTTTATCTCTCTCCCTCTCTCGCTCTATCTCCCTCTGGTCTCTCTCTCTCTCTCTCCAATCACAGCACGGACTGATGAAAAACATGTTCTGGCCCAGTGTTCTGCTCAGAGTCAGCCGTAGTTAAAAAGGGGTCGTGTTGAATGCAATGACCGCAGATATAGACTGTGTTTGGCCATAAATCAGAAAGAGGAAGACGGGAAACAGCTCATTTTAGCAGTGCGCAGTCTCCTATGGGTGTGTGTACGTTCCCAAGTGAGAAAACATGGATCAGACTCTCAACTCACAGGTACATAAAAGTGAAGCTTATTAGAAAACATGTCTTTATACTGAGATAGATCCCTGCGAGTCAAGTCAAGACAATTCATTCATACACAGCAATGATGAACTACTGTAGCCACAGCTGCCGTGGGGCACACTGACAGAGGTGATGCAGCCATTATGTGCCTCAGACCACATTCAACTGTTAACACACACAACAGACTCTCTCTCTCCCCTATTCTATGTCCTCTCTCTCTCTCTCTCTCTCGCCTCGGGCGTTCTGAATGTGTCCTCGTCTCCTTTATAATAAAAATCCACTCTTGATGTTTGTGTTTGCACTCGTTGAACCTGAGAATAACCAACACGATCCAGAAACTATGACAACCACAGAGAAGCCACGACTCGGAGCCACAGCTTTCATTAAATCAGACCAAAAACGGACCACGTTTCAGCACCGGAGCCCTTTCTCCAGTGCAAACGCCGAGAATAAACACAGATAAGAATCGTGGCCGCAGCCTCTGACCGGAGGAGTTGAACTGGAAGATCAGGCCAAAGTCAGAGAAATAGTTTTGACCAGGACTGTACAAGAATATTGATGTAATATACTGTAGGCTATGTGTAGCTGATGTTAGCGCTGTTTATGAAGACAGAAGGCAAAAAAATGTCAAACTACATACAGCTGTGGTACATCACTTTTAAACCACTAAATATGAAACTAAAAAACAAAACAGCCTCAGTCCTGGATCTACAGTCTCAGTCCTGGATCTACAGCCTCAGTCCTGGATCTACAGTCTCAGTCCTGGATCTACAGCCTCAGTCCTGGATCTACAGTCTCAGTCCTGGATCTACAGCCTCAGTCCTGGATCAACAGTCTCAGTCCTGGATCTACAACCTCAGTCCTGGATCAACAGTCTCAGTCCTGGATCAACAGTCTCAGTCCTGGATCAACAGTCTCAGTCCTGGATCTACAGCCTCAGTCCTGGATCAACAGTCTCAGTCCTGGATCAACAGTCTCAGTCCTGGATCTACAGCCTCAGTCCTGGATCTACAGTCTCAGTCCTGGATCTACAGCCTCAGTCCTGGATCTACAGTCTCAGTCCTGGATCTACAGCCTCAGTCCTGGATCAACAGCCTCAGTCCTGGATCAACAGTCTCAGTCCTGGATCAACAGTCTCAGTCCTGGATCTACAGCCTCAGTCCTGGATCTACAGTCTCAGTCCTGGATCTACAGCCTCAGTCCTGGATCAACAGTCTCAGTCCTGGATCAACAGTCTCAGTCCTGGATCAACAGTCTCAGTCCTGGATCTACAGCCTCAGTCCTGGATCAACAGTCTCAGTCCTGGATCAACAGTCTCAGTCCTGGATCTACAGTCTCAGTCCTGGATCTACAGTCTCAGTCCTGGATCTACAGCCTCAGTCCTGGATCTACAGTCTCAGTCCTGGATCAACAGTCTCAGTCCCGGATCTATAAACTATAACTAATATTACTTATGTTAGTTATACTGTATATCCCTGTTTTATGTGATGCAATTTCTGTTCAAGCAAAATTTCATTTCATTTCATTTCATTTCAAAACAGCCAAATACTACGAGTAAACGCTATTTAAACTGCCTTGAGTAATGAAAGAGCAGAAAAACGGGACATCAAAATTCAACCTTCAGGAGCTAAACTTGTTCTCGTTGTCATGTTTTGAATTTCTAGATGTTATTTTACATTTTTCAGCGGCCCAAGGTTGTTCCGCGTTATTCTCATCCTAATTACTCACTGCAATGTGTCTTTTCACGCCTCGAGAGCCGCACAAGTTGGAATTTGACGCTGAAGCTTGTAAAAATCTGAACCAGGTTTTTAAAAATGAAAAACAAGGACACACATGGGAGGATACAAAAATGAATATGAAAAACATGAGTAGAGATAGACTGTAGAGAGAGGGGATTAACAGAGCTAACTCAAACAGGCTCTATGGCCGGTAGCAACAACCTAGCAACCGAAGAACCAATCAAAAGCTGTCCTGTTCTTGTTCGCTTTACTCACTAGCTAAAGCCAAAACCACAGAATCGAGCAATTTTTAGTAATTATTGGCGGGTTTTGTTGATATGGGAAAGGTACCAATAAGATTTTTGCTTCTGCTTTCTCCTTTTGAGTTTTGTTTCTTGAATTATATGTACCTGTAAAAAACACATTGTAAAACTGCTCGAATAAAACTACTACTACTACTTTTACTACCATAGACTGTGTTTGTGCGGACAATGCGAAAGGACAATGCTAAACCCCCTCGCTTGATTCCATTCAATTTTTTTATAGCCCTAAACCCTAAAGTTATCTTGGAGAAGTTGTCGATTCGCCAAAAACAGATCAGAGAATAAAACAGTTCAAAGACAGGAAACGCAATAATAAATCAAACATCACACTTATGTACATAAGGGGCAAGTGATCAATGTCCGAAAATGTTCATAAATGTCAATAATCTCGTCTTCTGTGTTAAAACTATCCAAAGAGACATTGCAAATTATAACACAGTTTACAAAAGATAATTTAAGTTTGTCTCTATTTTTCTCTTAAATACTTTAACTTTTACAGCTGGTACATAACGTATGTTCCTCAAATTCCACCAAAGAAAACCATGTAGGACCTCCTTTACACTTGGACTTCCAAAATTCTGAAACTCCCAGAGCCGTCATTTTGACTGCTCCCATTCGAACCAATAGAATTCTGACAAAGTCCCCCCAAAGAATGTTTTGTCTTTGACCAGATCCATCAAAAGTAGGTAATTGATTAGGTTTTTTACCTATATTTTTGTAACCTCACTTTTGGTCTAAAACTGGTCATTATAACTGAAAAAAATGCTAATGCTAACTTCTGATGGTGTGTTGCGATGGTACAGGCTACTAGCACAGGCTATTCTCTGGTGGAAATTGAGTAAAACAGAGAACTCTTCATTTCAAAAGTAAAAGTGAAATAATGATAGAAATATACAACGTAAAGATTCAGAAAAAGTCACAAAGCTATGGGATTACGGGTGGAAATTAGCTCTTGAGCTATAACCTGCTAACAATCCATCTTTCTTTTAGAGGTTAATGTTTATTGTACACTGTCCCTGTCACTTTAAATAAATAAACTAAACTCAACTAAACTATAAAGACCAGGAATGCACATGAGCTGACCAGTGCTGACCAGGTCCTAACTCTGTCCCTGTCTCTTTACCAGCCGCCGATTAGCACATGTAGCACCTCTCACATTGCTAACATGATCTCTGCGTCAGAACCTATGGGCCGTCACTTTTCGCGATAGCGTCCTATAATTAGCCGCGCCGCTAAAGCCCGTCCGGTCTTGCCCTGCTTCGTGTTTCATTAGAGGCTTCTCGTCGGCTCCGAGACTGGACTTTTTATCTCAGTGTGGACACATTGCTCCGGTGACAGTGTGAATGCATAAGAGCGGATTAGAACGAGCCCTGAAGACCAGAGAGAGCAGTCGCAGACGCCTTTTGATTTGTTTCGACCTCTCTCGTTAGACAGATGTGCAAAATGAGAGAGGAAAACAATCCAAAAAAGTAAGATAGAGCTGGTTTAAATAATGCATATTCCTGTACGCAGGGTTAGATTTTGAAAGTGCTTTCTATGGCATTTTATGTTGGAGCATAAGAATAAGAGAATAAAAATCCGCACCACAGAGGGGAAGTTAGTATATTTAAATAAAGTGGACAACAAAAATAAGAATGGTATTTATCGCAATACAGATAAATAGGATGAAAAGTTTAGACAGAACCACACAGCAGCCTGAGTTCTACACTTATTCCCTAATTACAAAAATACTTAACACCGTTTTTTACAAGGAATTTTATTTTGTTGGACTGTTTTTCATAATGTAGACCTTCTTTTAGAGGTTATAATAAAAAACTAATGAAGTATTTCAATTCTGCCTATTTTTTATGCTGGTCTTTATTTAGAATACGTTTAAAAAAAGAAAAAAAAGAAAAAAAGAAATAAAGAATCAAAATGATCAGTTTTAACTGATAAGAAACACTTATTGTGATTCATGTTTCAGGCATATATCCAGTCCTAAATTTAGGATTCATTTATTATCTGGAAATTACAATCTACTTTTGTGATAAAAATCTAAAGCCCAGTTTTCAGCCCTACTTGGCCCTACTCTCCTCTGCTCCTCGACCCTACCCTACTCTACTATACTCTACTCTACCCTGCTCTATACTCTACTATACTCTACTCTACTCTAACCTACTCTACCCTGCTCTATACTCTCCTCTTCTCTACTCTACTCAACTCTACTCTACTCTACCCTACCCTACTCTACCTTACTACTCTACTCTACTCTACTCTCCTCTCCTCTACTCTACTCAACTCTACTCTCCTCTCCTCTCCTCTACTCTACTCTACTCAACTCTGCCCTGCTCTACTCTACTCTACTCTACTCTACTCTACCCTGCTCTAAACTCTACTCTACTCAACTCTACCCTGCTCTACTCTACTCTACTCTACTTAAGCTTACCCTATTCCACTTTACTCTACTCTACTCTACTCTACTCTACCCTGCTCTAAACTCTACTCTACTCTACTCAACTCTACTCTACTCTACTCTACTCTACTCAAGCTTACCCTACTCCACTTTACTCTACTCTACTCTACTCTACCCTGCTCTAAACTCTACTCTACTCTACTCTACTCTACTCTACTCTACTCTACTCTACTCTACTCTACTCTACTCTACTCTACTCTACTCTACTCTACTCTACCCTACCCTACTCTACTCTACTCTACTCTGTTTAACCGAAACCAGGTATATTATTGGTATTTGGTTGATGGTTTCATAGACACTCATTTCAGTTTTGTTGAGCACTTTTCAACGTCATAAATAAATATTCCAAATTGTACATATTTGAATTTCTCCACAACTCTCCTCTTTCATTCTAAAAAAAAAAAAGCAGACAGTTTAAAATGTCAGAGTGAGAGCATTTGCAGATGGACCCCAGTGATCTCACAGAACACATTTAAGCGCGTTCACTAGAAAACTTGCCAAAAGATTACGCCAGACTTGTGCTAAAGAGGTTAGATGATTATGATCTTTTTGAGAGACCAGCACTGACCCACTCACAAACTCACATCTACAAAGCCTGGACTAAACGCAAGACTCAAGTTAATAATTATAATCAAAAGGATGCATTGGTTTTATACAGTGCTTTTATGGACACTCAAAGACGCTTCATATGTCATTATTCTTTCACTCCAAACACGGGGGGGAGAAAATACTACTCTAGCCGTATAGCTGCCCTGGGCCACACTGACCTACCACTACCAACCATTCACACACACCAGACTCATTCTAGGCACTGTGGGTGAAGTGTCTTGCCAAAGGACACAACAGCAGTTTGTAAAGTTTTGTAAAGTCCTCTGAGATAACTACTGCTGTGATTTAGGGCTATACAAGAATACATTGAATTGACTTTGTTTGGAGACAGTTCTTACCGCAAACCTTGTCTTGAATTGAGTCAATATTTTGTTAGTAAGATCTAGCAAGTGGATATTTGTCAGTTTATTTGTTGATTCATCTAGATAATCATCTAGTATAGATTCAGAGGACTCTAAAAAGCTGTCGATTTGCCAACACAGATCAGAGAATCAAACAAGTCAAACACAAGAAATGCAATGATGAAAACACATAGAGCCATTGGTCCATAAGAGGCAGTGACTAATGTCCATAAATGTTGGTCATTCATGATCTTAAAGCCTTGTATGGTTGGCTCTTGTTTTGTTAAGCATGTTGGGTTCCCTTGTGTATGACCTGTGCTGTATCTGTGCTATAAAAATATCATAGATTGCCCGTTTATTATAAAGTCATCTTCTTAGATTGAGTAACATTCGCTGACAGCACGACTTTGTCTCAGCCTCTTTCCCATCTTACACTTTTACATCTCAACAACAACAACGCTGTTTTGTTCCCTTTTCCTGTGTGTCTCTTCCCACCAAGAAAAACAACAAAGCACAGAGAGAGAGACAGAGAGAGAGAGTGAAGGGGAAGAGAGAAGGGAAGCAGCATCCGGGGTGACTCAAACCCTTGTCGCTAAGCAGTTGCTAAGGAAGTGACAGGCTGGTTGCCACTGCTGCTGCTGCTTCTCTGGGTTTAAAACACAGGTAACAACAGGCTGCAGATCCATGCGGCTCGTACAGAGAGAGCAGTCACAGAGACGGGCAGCTCTACAGCGCCGGGACAGTACGTTTCACCTTGGCTCAGTCTCCCGCTGTCGCCCAAAGGGTCCGCCGCTGATGAGTAATGTTTAATACGGCCGTCTGCTGGCTGTTCACGCATACAATTATTAACCACTCCTTGACGCAGTTGTATAGACACTAGGTCCCTGGTTTAGAATAGACAGTATTTTTCACTTATTATGCTAACAACAGATATTTTAGACATGGTTCTTTATTATGCTAAAGCTAGAGATTTTGCCTCTGTATTATGCTAAAGCTATAGATTTTATACTTGCTTCTTTATTATGCTAAAGCTAGAGATCTTATACTAGCTTCTATATTATGCTAAAGCTAGAGATTATATACTTGCTACCTACTAACTTATACATGTTTAACAAAGTTTTGTTGAATTAGAGATACACAAAATCCCAAATGTGTTTCCCTTCAGTGGCGCAATGTGCAGGCAACGGATAAAGCGGAAGATCATGGCTGAATAGATGGATGGGAAATGGTGAGAAGACAGTTGTGATTAGTCCAGAGATTAAAGGGTAATGCAAAACACTGGTTTCAAGTCATGGGCTCTGAGCAGAACCAGGGAGGAAATGTGCGAGTGTGAGCCAGGACTGTCTCTTTCTCAAACACACACACACACACACACACAAAGGCTCACACTGCGACCAGCCAAAACCAGATCCCATAAGACTGCAAACACAAACAGCCTCAGTGTCCGCTCTCAGCCTCTATCCCGGGACACAGAGACCTGACTGGCTAAAAATATAACATTGCATCCATTACTCTAATAAATGGCAACGCTCCAAAAAATGGTGCATCTCAAGCACAAGAGATTTAAAAAATGTTAAGAAAAAACACTAAAAAACTAGGTTCAATTGGACGACTGCTGTTGAGATTTCAGGCTGCACAAAAACACATATTATCTAAATGAATTTTTTCTGACTTTAAGTGTTGTTTTCATATGATTCTTTTACCTAATATATTGTTTGTAAATGTGTATGATTCTATGTCTTTGTAAAGTCGTGTTGCTCTACATGAGTTGTGCTGTATATAAATAAACTTGATTGATTGTCTATGTAAGCTGCAAGATTCCATTAGTTTATTAAGATTCTATTAGAAACCATTTAGCGCTGAATCGTTCTAAGACAAAAATAGCTAAAATCATGGACTTCAAGACAAAATCCAAACTTTTTCCTGACACTCAGCTCAGGAAATGAAAAACTAAACTCCGTCGAGACACTTTCTTTACTCTTCGACACGGTCACTGCAGGGAATCGATTTGAGTGAATTTGGCTGTTTGTCCCCGTTCTGCGGCCTCTGCTCTGACTGGATCAACAGGACTGACCTTATTCTGCCTACTTTTGTCTCATTATGCGGAAAAACAGCACTTCTGCTTCTTGCACTTTTTATTTCCGCTGCAAAAACTGAAGAAGCTGTAAGCAGAAAATATGTTCGTCCTCGGAGATTACTACTGTTGTGATTTAGGGCTATACACAAATACATTGAATTGAATTGAGTTTGAGACCCCTGCACATAATAATAATAATTTTAAGCACTTTTCAAAACCATAAAAAGAGTCATAATAATACAAAAAACAATTAAGAGTAGATACAGTAGATACAAAGAAGACAGAGGATACACAAGAGGAAAGACATTTATTTAACCAGGAAAAATCCTATTGATATTAAAAGCCTCTTTTTCAAGGGAGTCCTGGCCAAGAGGAAGAAAAGTTACACATAAACACAACAGGCAGATAAAATTACATTTAAAAAAAAGTTAAAGGCTGTTTGATAAAAGTAACATACTGATGGTGCTAGCTTTATCTATTCGGGCAGGTCGTTCCAGAGCCGAAGAGCACGGACTGAGAAGGCTCCGCCACCTTTGGTCTGGAGCCTCGACCCTGGAACGGCCAACAGGGACCTGCCCGGGCTCTAAGACACAAGGGGGAAGCAGGCGACCAACCAAAAAGACAGGAAGTAACCTCAAAAAAGACAACAGAATCAATACATCAATTATTTTGATGTATGGACTGGTCAAAAATAATCAACAAAAAGTCCACGCCATGTCCAAAACAATCTCCAATTCTCTTAGCATGTCTCCTTTAAAGAGAGAGATTACATGGCCCCTCATTAGTGCCGCTTACACCACATCAAACAGGCCATTACCGCTCCGGCCACTGTTCCGAGCCGCGCGAGGGGACGAGCTAGCATGCGACATCACCACCTGTTAGCCATTAGCCCCTTCAAACACAACGGGCAAGTGGCGGTCAATGGGCCTTTACCTCCTCCACCCTCCGTCCCCCGTCATATCCAAGCCTTTATACTCGCACTCATTAATATGCAACTTGAAAGCACCGCGTGGGAGAGGAGAGGTGGCGGCGGGCTCCATTATGTGCTCGGGTCCCGCGAGTGAGCGAGTCCCCTTTGTGTGTGGAGTGTGTACAGGCGGGGAAAAAAGGAGGAGGACGACGAAGAGGAGGAGGAGGAGGAGGAGAGAGGGGCCCCCATCCACACGCCAGATCACAGATTACACACTTGACGCTTCGCCAGAGGGGGCTTGATCGGCGAACACGCAGGCAGACAGAAGCGAAAAGACAAAAGGGGACCAGAATAAACAGATAGGAAGTGTAAGGACGTCACGGTTTGAACTGTTTGAACTGTCAGAGCAGAGGGCGCTGTGCAGGAGAGCGTTCTACTATAGTGGCATCTAGAAAATTGCTAACACCGAAAGGATTTAGTTAAATATATGAACTACATTTTTGGAATTTGCTTAAGTAATATCTATAGCCTGCTCATCCGTGAGATAGGATCCTTCTCTCACTGAGGGTCTCCCCTGAGATTTCTCTTCTTCTTTCTTTCTTTTTTTTTTATCCCACTGGGTTTTTGAGTTATCCTTGCTGGTGCAGGAGGATCTAAAGACAGGGGATGATCCAGGACATTTATGGACATTGGTACATTCCTTATCCTATGTTTATCCTTAGGTGTTTTGTCTTAGTTGTATTTCTTGTATTTATTAATTGATTGGCATTTATTTGAGCTGCTTACAGTTTTATGTTGGCATAACTTTACAAATTACAATATTGCATCTTGGTATAATCTCAAAGGGAGTAGGCTGAAGCAAGAAAACTTACGTACACCTGGGTACATCAATAAGACGGTGGTAAAATGCTCTATTTGTTTGATTTTCTCATCGGCTGTTGGCAAATCTACAATTCACACACCCCTTGAGACAACTGCTGCAGTGATTTTGGGCTACAAAAAAAAGAATTGAGTTGATATTGCACTGATTTGAAGAATGTCTGACAAGCTACAAGAAAACTTGAGGTAAGAAGACCACCACAGCACTGAGACAAGATAAGATATTCCTTTATTTGTCTCACATTGGAGAAATGTCAGTGTCATTGTTGCACATGACAGCAGAGAAAGAAGGGAATAAGAGCACTAAAATTGCACACATTAAATAGTCTATTATTAAAGATAATAGACAATAATTAAAATAAGATAAAGAATAAAATAAAATAAACTCTGGAGCTACGATTGCATTTGGTTCAGACGTATTTACAGATGTGTATATTGTACTTAAACAGCAGAGAATATGAGCAGAATAAACATCAGTAATAATATCAACAGGTAAAGTGACTAGTGAAGTATCAGATGGATGGATATGTAATAATGCAGTAATAATAATAATAATAGGTAAAGTTACTAGTGAATTATTATCAATGACACTTGTACAGACTCAGCAGTACTTGTTATACATTCTCGTTGAAATGAGACAAGCCCCCTCCGACACTGACAAAGGAAAAGTCTTTTGAAACAGACACTAGAGGACTGGGTGGGTGTCTCTGGTACTTTCCTAAAATGGCTTAAGTCATAAAGCTAGAAGAAAAGCAAGATTTCATTTAAAATCATGACTTTGAGCTGAGGGGTTCCACAGGGGTCAATCCTGGGACCACTACTGTTCCATCTCTACACGCTTCACCAGTAGCACTAATATAGCCACACATTCCAGTGAGAATATATATTGTCATTTAATTTCATTTATTGAGAGCTTGGGTGTCATATTTATAGGAGGATCTTGGAGTGACATCGTTGTTTATAGTTTTTCCGCGCCGATCACATGACCGTGTGGCACTACAGCATAGAAAGCTACCTGGATGCTAGAGAGTTAGCTATTTTTAAACGTTTGGAGAGAGGTTTTACTGAATCAAATGGTCCATTCTTGTTGTGTGGCCGGTTGTACGGCCCGCTGGGGACAGATTACGTCTTTCGGAAAAGAACAGCGAAATTACAGCGAATACGTTTTGCAACTACTTTCACTGCGCACTTGTTCACTCATTCATTCATGAATGATGAATAATTTCAAACATTGCATTTTGGTTGCTCATCCCCGCAGCATCCTCTTCCACCTTTACCGTAAGTAACAGCAAAAAGGGGCAACCCGCTTTTAATGTGCGGACCACTTTACTGCAACGGCGAAATGCCGGGCCACTTTACCGCGGTGAAAAACGCTCTGAGTCCCAGTCCCAGCAGATCGGTGCTAAAAGAGAGGTGAGTCTGACCAATGTTTTCTCTCGTCATCCCAGGTGTCATATGGGCTTTGAATGTGTTCAGTTCGGTCTCATATACTTATTTTTAGCTTGTCTTTGTATCTCTTCTGATCTTCTTGCGGTAAAGTGCTTATATACAGTGCTATTTGCCCACTGAGTCTTTTAAAAATACTCGTTGCATCCATGCTTCTGTATGTGTCGCTCTGTCTTATTGCGACTCAGCAAGGGACGCATACACACGCGGGTGTAAACAAAGATCCTCCTATAATCCCATATAGATTACTATACATGGGACTAAGCGTTAAAATGTTTGTCGGTCTTCCCGCTTTAAAACACATCAGTTCATTAGTTGGATGACACAAATCTGTTGTCGCTGTTACAAATCTTTAAAAGTGAATGTATTTCTGTAACAATATAAAATGAGAAACCAATACATAGTGTAGTCTCATTACCTGCAGAGTGACATATGCCTTTGTTTGTAATAATGTTGATGAGTAGAGGCTTTGAGCGCTTTTTCATAATACTACTCATAATATACTATTCTCTGAGATGCTTCATTTTTAGGTTTTTAACAAGCTGTGAGCCAATTATCAACATCACAACAAACAAAATCTTGCTATATCTCCTTTGCCTGTAATGAGGCTGTGGAATATAGAAGTTTCACATCGTTGAAGTTGAATTAAAGGCGTAAATGGGCTAATTGGGATGAACTATTATAATGTACTTCCTCAATCTGTCACGGTGTGCATCATGTTAGCTAGTTTTATTTTGACATACGTTCTCTGTGGTCTCATTTTAGTTTGACTTCCTGTCCTTTTCCCTGTGGCTCTACTCCTCACAGGCTCTGTTAGTGGCAAAGGAGATGGCTAAAGCGAGGCTAAATCCTAAAGCTAGGCTAAATGCTAAATGCCTCACTCACTCAGGCGCAGTACATACGTGACGGTGAACTCAGATCCAATCGTTTTAATCTGCAAAAGAAGTTAACCCCTCCCACCTGTTAACGAAGTCAATGGAGCAAATACAGACCTTAGTACAAAATGAAATTAGTACAATGGTATGGTAAGACCAGGCTAGCATTTTGAGTCCTTCTTTCATTTCAAACACAATCGATCTAGCACATTATAAAATATAAAATATGAGTCGTAAACAAGATTCTCCAATGGGACAAAGCCACTTGCTTTATTTTTTCATTCCAAGGGAGACATTTCTTGTATCTTTTTAAAACAAGACATATTTGCTTGGTCCCATTGGCAAATCTTGTTTTTCAAAAATTTGACACATTTTGCTAAATTCGAGATTTTCCGTCACTTCTTGCTTTTCTTGTATTAACGGAAACTGCTCGACTAGGACTTTCATTAGGAAATCAAATATTCCAGGGTATTGCAGCCGCCTTGGAAACTCAACAGAAAGACTGCGGCAGATCCGGTTAGTGGTGATGACCATGGCCAATCTCAGACAAAGATACGGATTAAACCACAAAAGCTAAACTAGCCACTCGCTAAATCCACATGACCTCATTTCTCATCCAAAAGCATCGATAAGCGCCGCACGTTTAACCTTATCGTCGTCATTTCGGGGATAACGTCGACTTAATCTTAGTTTTACCATCCACGCTACTGGAAGAAGAGCCACGAGGGTTTTTAAAAATGGAGGGAAAATCAAGAGAAATGTGTGAAAGTTTAAATTATTTTTTCGACGGGGCCTGATAGTGGGGAGTGATACCAGAGCTAGAGACAGGAAATTATTCAAAACAATTATGATAACTATTTCAGGTCATTCATCATTTTAGCAGCTTCTGTTTGTTATCTGGATGTATGGTTCAATTTCACGCTCTTGAGCAGTTTGTCAGGCAAGTTTTTCATTATTTTAATTTGAATATTATCAGTCATTTTCCAAGAGGTTTGTTTTACATTCATGCCCATTAAACATGCTTTTGTTGATTTGAAGGACACGGGAAAGACAATGGTGGCGTCTTCCCGGAAAGATCTAGTTATTGGATAAAAGTGTGATGCATGAATTCTTGTCTTGTCATGTCTTCTTTCAGTCCTGGATCTACAGCCTCAGTCCTGGATCTACAGCCCGAGTCTTGGATCTACAGCCCGAGTCTTGGATCTACAGCCCGAGTCTTGGATCTACAGCCCGAGTCTTGGATCTACAGCCCGAGTCTTGGATCTACAGCCCGAGTCCTGGATCTACAACCTCAGTCCTGGATCTACAGCCTCAGTCCTGGATCTACAGCCTCAGTCCTTGATCTACAGCCTCAGTCCTGGGTCTACAGCCTCAGTCCTTGATCTACAGCCTCAGTCCTAAATCTAAAGCCTCAGTCCTGGATCTACAGCCTCAGTCCTGGATCTACAGCCTCAGTCCTGGGTCTACAGGACTGAGGCTGTAGTGGGTCACTGATCATTCCACTCCATATGAACCTATTGTTATTATTGCATTTCCTGCGTTTGAACTGTTTGATTCTCTGATCTGTTGTTGGTGAATCAACAACTTGCACAAACACAAACTTCTGATGTGATTTTGGGGTGTACAATTTTTTTTTAATTGAATACCAAAAGTACCTATTTAGTATAAGATAATTTATATTTTACACAAAATTGCTGCCTCTTTAGCACTCTCCAAAACTGTGAATGAATACATAAAATAAATGTGTATAAA